ACATCCTTCTTCACCAGGGCCTCTTTGCTCTGGTTGTGCCAACAGCAGGAGAGGCTGCCTCCTGAGGACACCAGACTCCATCAAGATGTTAACAAATTGGTGGCTGCGGCTGAGTAATCTGCTGATGCATCTCTCAGTGCCGTGAAGTTTGCCTCTTGCGCTTTGTCCTCAGCTGTAACTTCTCGCAGGATGTTTTGGCTTCACAACTGGAGAGTGGACGCGAAGACTAAATGGAAACTCGCCTCAGCGCCTTACAAGGCACCGAAGCTCTTTGGGGAGGCTCTGGATCCGCTGCTCATCGAGGACAAGGACAAGCGGAAAATTCTTCCTTCATCTTATCGGCGACCCGAGCGCAGGTACAACCCTTACGCTCAGAAACAGTCCTTTCGGGCCTTCTCAGGTCCAGGAGGGACCTATAATCAACAGCCCTATTCTCAAGGAACAGACCGCAGTACCAACAGACAGTCCTTTCGTGACCGCGGCCGGAACCAGCCTCCAGCGAAGTGCCTGTTTCGTGGATCTGGCTACAGACCGTTTCGAAGGGGCAAATGACTCAGAGCCGTTGGGGCCCATTGGCAGTCAGCTCCAGCAATTCCACCACCAATGGGAAGCCTCAAAGTGCAAACCTTGGATCCTTCGCACAGTGACTCACGGACTCTGCCTGGAGTTCCAATCCAGCCCTCCCCATCGGTTTATTCGTTGTCCGGTGTCTCCTCTACAGGAGAAAAGACTACTGATGGATGCTGAAATTCTACACCTGTCATCTATCAACCCCATCGAACTGGTGCCCCAGGCTCAGGAGCGGACCGGGTTTTATTTCACCGTGTTCCTGGTGCCCAAGACCTCAGAGGGCTGGAGGGGTATCTTAAATCTCAAACATCTGAACCGGTTCATTCTCTATCACAGGTTCAAGATGCAGTCCCTGAGGTCCATTCTGGCGTGCATCTGGAGAGGGGATCTCTTGCAATCAGTAGATCTCAAAGAGGTGTACTTGTACATCCCTATTCACCCAGCCCATCGCCAGTATCTCCGTTTCGAATATGCCAGCAAGCATTTTCAGTACTGTGCAATGCCATTTGGGCTGTCCTCGGCCCAGGACATTTACCAAGTTGGTGGCGGTGGTGGCCGCACAACTCCGGAGTCTGCCAGTGCGTGTCTTTTGTTATCTGGACGATATTCTCGTCCTGTCATCCTTTCCGCTTCAAGCAGCGACAGACATCGACTCGGTGATCTGTGGATTCCAGCGGCACGGGTTCTCCATCAACAGACAGAAAAGTCACCTCGTTCTGACAACTGTATTCTTCACCTGGGTGCAGTGATCGATTCGACCAAGGGTTAGGTTTTTCTTTCTCCGGACAGGGTTCACAGCACCACCAGCTTAGTGACCCAGGTGAAACCAATGAAAGGTTTCACCTCTTCTGCTCTCTCAGTTGTTGGGGAAGATGGTGTCGTGCATAGCCATCGTTCCCTGGGCACGCAGACATACTCGCCCACTGCAGTGGTTCCTGCTGCCGTACCAGAAGTTGGGTCACGGCACCCCCGAGTCCCCAATACTTGTGCCACCTCAGATTCGCTTGTCACCCTGATGGTAGGGATCCCCGGCTCTCTTGAAGGGGTGCACGTTCCTAGAGCCAAATCGTCTGGTCCTGACATCGGACGCAAGTCTGCACGGCTGGGGGGCACATCTGTTGGATCAAGTGACTCAAGGTCTGTGGTCTCTGGCAGAGAAAATGAACAGCATAAACTGGCTGGAGTTGAGGGCGGTACGTCTAACCCTCCACTATTTTCGCCCAGCCTTGGAAGGCCAACACGTGTTGGTGCTCACGGACAACATGACCACGAAGGCTCACATCAACCGGGAGGGGGGGTACTCGTTCCAGGCCCCTCATGCTTGAAGCGGAGAAGTTGCTGAGCTGGGCGGAACGCCACACCTTGTCAATAAAGGTGGACCATATTTCCGGCCTGACCAATGTGAGAGCCAATTGGCTGAGCAGAGAGACTCTGGATCCGGTGGAGTGGTGTCTACATTCGCTCATTTTTCTGGAGATTACTCAGAGATTCGGCCATCCTCTAGTGGACCTATTCGCAATGGCTCAAAACACTCAGCTTCCCAGGTTTTACTCACGCTTCCCAAACACAGGGGCGGAAGGGTGCGAGGCCCTGCGCTGTCCTTGGCCACCCGGACTGCTTTCTGCCTCTTCCCCTGATCCCAAAGGTCATTCGGAAGCTCCTGAAGGAACATGTGGAGATTCTGCTCATCTCTCCTCTCTGGCTGCGCAGGGCCTGGTACGCCGACTTGGTGAGCCTATCCATCTCACAGCCATGGACAATCCCTCAGCACAAGATCGCTCTCAGCCAGGGGGTCATTGCCCATCCAGAGTCCTAGTGGCTCCAGTTGACCGCCTGGCACTTGAGCGGGTGCTGCTGAGGAAGGACAGATTGTCGGACGACGTGATGCGAACCATCCAGTCTTCGTAATGTTCGTCGACGGCACGTATTTATGAAGCCTCGTGGAAGGCGTTTTCTCTCTGGTGTTCAAAACACCACGTTGACCCGACATCGGCCACCGTCCCAGATGATCTGGAATTTTTATAAGCAGGCTTAGTTAAGGGCCTGGCTCCCACGACTTTGAGGTGTCAGGTAGCGGCCTTGGCTACCATATTTACCTGTGATCCACATCGCACGCTGTCGCAAGATCCGAGGATTCATGGTTTTCTGCGCGGAGCTGCAAACATCTCCCCTCCGATTGTTCATTGTTAACCGTCTTGGGACCTGCCATTAGTCCTCCAGGCGCTTACATCTTCGCCATTCGAGCCGTTGGGATCTATCAATCTCAAGTTCCTATCCTTCAAACTTGCCTTTGTCTTTGCTATAATGTCTGCCAGGAGAATTTCAGAGCTAGTGGCCTTGTCCGTCCGGGAGGATCTCTGCGTTTTTCATACGGACAGAATGGTAATAAGAATGGACTCTGTTTTCTTGCCCAAGGTGAACTCCTAGTTTCACTGGGACCAGGAGCTCATCTTGCCTGATTTTTGCCCGGCCCCACGTCATTCTCAGGAGGAGCGTTGGCATACGCTGGATGTCAGGAGGGCGTTGCGCAGGTACCTTCGGTGTACTGCTTCATTTTGTCAGACAGACACTCTCCTGGTGTCTTTCCACCCTTCTTCTATGGGTTGGAAGGTGTCCTCTTCAACGGTGGGGCAGTGGATCTAGGCCAGCATCTCCACAGCTTACGAACGCCAGGCTACGCTGGTGCCTGGCAGGGTCCTTGTGCATTCTACCCGCAGCGCGGTGACCACGGCTGCGTGGGCTACTCAAGCTTCTATTACTGACATTTGTCGAGTGGCATGTGGTCTTCGGCTTCACCGTTTATCCAATATTACAAAATTGATTCTTATGCCTCGGCTGAGGCTTCCTTTGGTCAGCAAGTGCTGCAACAAGTGCACCTTGCTCGGGATTTGGGGAGCAGTCAGCCTCCCGCCCAGGAGGTGTGAGCTGGGGTATGTCCCAGCCATGGATTGTAGGAGTAGTGCACTGGAAAATGGACGCTGGCTTACCTGAACGTCCCTTTTCTGGGTGCTGCGACTACATTCCCACCCATGTTCAGGCTTCCTGCTCTAGCTTGTGGGGTGGTACCTTGTTTGTGGGGTGTTGGACCTCTTTTTTCTTGTAGAGTACTGTTGGATCACACCTTCGTGTGATTGGAGTGATTGGCACAGAGTGGGCGTAGACCAGCAAAAGAAATTTGAATATTCAGCACTCAGTTCCCTAGCAAGATATATGTGAAATACCCAGCCATGGATTGTAGTGCAGCGCCCAGAAAAGGAACGTTCAGGTAAGCCAACGTCCATTTCAATATCAGATCTGCCATCATTCTGCTTCACTTTACATTGATGGCATCCTGCCGTAAAAAGGGAGAGGGAGAAATGGGGAGGAAACACTGAGAAAGGGATGACAGCAACAAGAGATCCAAGGATAGAAGTGTGAGAATGGAATGCATTGAAGAGGCTGTTGAGACCGGCTGTTGAGACTGTTTCCAAAACATCTAATGTGAATACATTAGACATTGATCAAATGATCAAGCGGGGGGGAGGAAATCTAGGAGAGGGGAAAATCACTGAGATCTTGCTTTGCTTACTTTGTAACCACTTGACTTTAATAAAAGCATACCTTTTCTCTACAAATTGAGTCAAGGGTTTTTCTTTCCTAAATGCCTAAACTGGGACAGGCTTGACCCACACCTAGATTTTCCATTATTTTCTGTGATTTGTAATTTCCAGCATTATAGGACCATAATATTGTAGTAATACATATGTAAGTTTACACATAACTATTGTGTTTTTTATCTGGGTCAAATTTTAAGATGGTAAATTATCCAGATACGCTGGTAATAAAGTTTTTTAAGGCAGAAATAATGTTTTAACTTGTTATTCTTAACTAAACATCTTTATTTTATTAAATATTTTGTCCCTCAAAGTTCATCTATTCAAAGTATTTACAACCTCTTTATTAATTTCCCTTTTAATTCCCTGCAATTTCCTGGAAACAGAAATGTACTATAGAAAATCTTCTATTCACTGACTATTTTGTACCTTTTATGACCCCAAAATAATTGATTTTTTAATATGTCTGTCATATTAAAGGGAAACATGTCTAACATTTTCTAAACTCAGACAAGCTATCCTAGTTGCATTATCAAATTGAAGCTATGTTATATACAATAACTGCAGTTATTTTAGCCAGGCACTTCCAATTTTAATGTTATTGTATTGTTTCCTGTATTTCTTCCATAGGCATAACAATAATGTACATTTATATATTTTTTTTATTCTGTGAACTTCATGGTCCATTATAATGTTCTACTTTGATAAAACAAAGCAGGTGTTTTCAATTTTTGTTGGCTAAACTTAACCCATGCTATCAAAATTAGAATTATTTCTGTTTAGGAAATGCAAACTTACATTTCTGTAGAATCTTATATAGTTTGTTTCTCTTAACAGATGAAGGCTATTATCGAAATGGAACATTTCAGTTTGAAATAGAGGTTCCTGATGCCTATAATATGGTTGTAAGTAATTACCATATTTTCGGAGTATAAAATGCACCGGAGTATAAGACGCACTTACCTTTTTTGGTTGTTGTTGTTTTAAAAATTTTTTTTAAATTTTTTAGACAAACACACATACAAACATACAATGTATTTTCTTTGAACAGAGTGTTTGGCTGGTTCACAAATTTAAACAGTGTTTAGTCATTTCAATTAAATTTACAATTTTTATATTTCCTTTTTGCCATATTTATTCCTCATCTATTTTTTTTAAAAAACCAGTATTACCCATCATTCTCATCTCTAATCTTAATTTCTTTTATTTTATTTATTTATTGGTTCAATTTATATGCTGCCCTTCTCCGGAGACTCAGGGCGGCTTACAATGCGTTAAGCAATAGCCTTCATACTTTTGTATGATATAATCAAATTCAATTTTTCCCTTCTATTCTATATTATACCCCTTCCCATTGTCATCTATTTTTATATCCATCCTCACATTGGTTAATTATTTAATATTACAATTGTTTAATACAAATTCAACATTTTTATATAAATGAATTAGTTATAACTATGTCTTTTGTATATTAATCAATATGAACATGAATATTCCAATTATTTTCATGCAATCCAATTTCTTACAAATCAATTAATTATATTTACCAATAATAATAAACCAAATAATTTTCCCCATATATTCCTCCAAACCACAACTTAACCATTTCTGCTTTCAACACAATATACAATTAATAGTATCTCAATTATTACAATTCCCTAGTTAAATAGAGCTTTTTTCTTTTGTGTTTTAAAATCTTTTTTTTTATTTAAAAAATTTTAACAATCATTACAACAATTTCCCCCCTCCCACCCACCCCCCCCCTCCTCCCTCTCCCTCCAACCCCCCTCCCCCCAGCCACCCACCCCCCGGACTTCCCAGAGCAAAAACAGGGTATAGCATAACAAACATAAGCTAAAATAAGCTAACTTTCTGTTGTCTCCAAACTCCCTCTTACTCTTTAACTCCCCTTTCAACTAACTAAACATATTCAAAAAGAAAATATAGGTTTCATTCATAAGCTATTTGAAACTTTTTAGTCCGATATTTGTTTTGAATATAGTCAATCCATCTTCTCCATTCCAATATATATCTTTCATTTGAATGGTCCTTCAAATACGCTGAAATTTTGGCCATCTCTGCTAAATTCACTACTTTTAGTGTCCATTCTTCAATAGTAGGCAAGTCTTCCTTCTTCCAGTACTGTGCCACCAAGTGTCTGGCTGCTGTTATTAAATTTAAAATCAACTTAGTCTCTATAACAGTACAATCTGTAATTATGCCTAAGAAAAAGAACTGTGGAGTAAATTTTATCTTCTTTTTGAGAATATTTTGAATAATCCACTATATTTTTATCCAAAATGCCTTAATTTTTTTACATGTCCACCATATATGATAATACATGGTGGTTTTAAAATCTTGAACTCTCCTCTTTTGCCCTAAATTTCCCATTGTTTGCACCTACCTTTTTTGGTGTGAAAAAAGAAAAAGAAATCTCTCTCTGCCTCATTTTGTCACGTTGCAGCAAAGAACCTGCTTTACTTTCAGTTTTGTTTTTTCAGCATAGCTAGGGAAAAAAATCTGCTCCAGCACTTTTTGCAGCAAGCAGGAGAGCCCTGCGCAAAACAGCTGAGAGAAAATCAGCTGAGAGTCGGGAGGCCAATCTAATCAATTTATGCTAATTAACCTATGCTAAAGGGGCTGTTTTTTCTTGCTGTTTGCTTGCAAGAAGGTAACTGCTGCGAAGCACAGGCCAAAGGGTGGGGGCCAGTGGGTGGGCAGGGCTACATTCGGTGTATAAGACGCACCTAAATTTTCACCCCCTTTTGGGGGGTAAAAAGGTACGTCTTATATACTCCGAAAAATACGGTAAGATTGTTTAATTTCTGCAAGATTATTGATTTTAAAAAGGTAGTACTTCATTAGTTTTTCTCAAATACATGCTCCATCACTGGAGGTTTTCAAGAAAACCTCTAAATTGATTTAATTCGATTTTACTTTTGTTCTTAATTTTTGTATTTTACGTGTTTTATTCTGTTCCTGTTCACCGCCCTGAGTCCTTCGGGAGTAGGGTGGTATACAAATTAAATAAAACATAAACAATAAAACAAAAGATTGGACACTCTTGGGTGGTACTAGGTCTCCTGCCTTGGGCAAGGAGTTGAACTAGGAGATCTCCAAGGTCCCTTCTAGCCCTATAATTCTATGTTTCTATGTGACTCAGAGAGTTCATAAGAATGACAAAGGTACTTAATATTAGAATATACAAGTTTTTCTGATGTATATTCCAATCATTTTAAATGTCCTCAGTTTGTTTAGTTGCTTTCTGCCGTAGAAAATAAAATTTATAAAAGAAAAGTCATGTTCTTAGACAAGCTTCAGTGCATAGAGTGCTTTTTTAAATAAAATCTTGTAAGATTTCAATATAATTTTCTAACTATCAAGACAAAACTGCTTGGTGTTAAATGTGCATGTATTCTTTAAAGAAAATTCTATTACTAAATGTTCATAATATATGTACATTTTATACATCTGTATTGTATGGAAATAGAATTCCCACTACATTATGATGAGCTTGTCGATCAAAAGGTCTGCAGTTAAGCAGTTCGAATCCCTAGTACCGTGTAACGGGGTGAGCTCCCATTACTTGTTCCAGCTTCTGCCAACCTAGCAGTTCAAAAGCACGTAAAAATGCAAGTAGAAAAATAGGGACCACCTTTGGTAACAGAGTTCTGTGCACCTTTGGTGTTTAGTCTTGCCGGCCACATGACCACGGGGACGTCTTCGGATATCGCTGGCTCTTCGGCTTTGAAACGGAGATGAGCACCGTCCCCTAGAGTTGGGAACGACTAGCAAATATGTGCATGGGGAACCTTTACCTTTACCGTAGCATCACTATTTTTTAAATAGAAAAACAGCATTTCCATTTTATCCATCAGTTTTTAGTTACAAATTCAGAGAACAGAAAATTAATATGTAAAAATACCTTAAAATGGAATGTCATTATAACAGCTAAAATGGATTTTGAGAGACTTGGATCCTTACACTGACTTGTAATTTCAGGGAGGGAAAGATAGTGCTGTTTCAATGAGTTTGCTGCATATTTTAATTTTGCTTTTATATGTTGTCATTTGTTTAATGCAAATTCTTTAAATGAGTTTATGTGAAACACACAGAGACTAATTGGGTAAATGTGCTTGAAATTGCAAACCTCTATTGAAATGTCACAATAAGCATATTGTAACCAAATTTAGACATCAGTCTTCTGTCATGTTAACTAGATTGAAAACCAGAGGCTGTAATAATTGATACCATAGAAGAAGATGGCTTACAAGATGGCTAAAAAACAAGAACATTCATGTAGTGAAACATTAATTAGGACTATTCATAGCTGAAGCCAACAATGAGAAATAAGTTACTGAAATGTAAGTGTGACTTATTTGAAGCCATATATGTTCTAGGCACTTAAAAAAACAGTCCTTTTATCCATAACTCTTGAAATACATTTTCCACCTTGGAATACGACATCCTAGAACAAGTAGACACAGCCGAATCTTGAATTATTTCACTATATTGTTCCTAGATTAATTTAATGAGCAGAGTGGTTGGGTCTCAGTGGACCGTCTGAAAGTCTAAACTTTGACCAATATGTCTTTTTAAAATAATAACAATATTCTTTTCTGTACCTCTGTACTGTTCCGTTTTTGTTGGTTTCATTCTTTCACAATTTTTCATAAATGCCCCCTAACTTAATAGGCTGTTATGTCTTGGAGCAGAATACAACTATCGACTTCAAATATAGCAAGACTTTCTTTTGATTTCCAACTGATCAGTTTAGCAACAGCTACTGAAGGATCCCAAAGATCACACAGGGGAGCTTGTTGGCAGGTCTTTATATCCTGGCTTCAATCCACAGGTAATCTGATTGATGCTGTACCAGTAAACAAAGAAAATGCTGTTCCTGACTGTCTACACAAAAGCTTAACCAGGTCAGAAGACAAATGTGAGCCAAAAGGTTGTATTTTAATCCATCCTTACATAGGCTGGGAACTATATGCCTCAGGATGCAAACAGAGGTAATAGACAGGAACACCAAGGAGATACCCCCATCACTTCCAGACAGCAAAAGAACAAGTTGCCCAGCCAAAAATAGCTTCTACATTCCCAAATTTCAATTTCCAATGAAGAAGACTCATTTCAAGCAGGAATTCTTTGAGTCAAGTTTTTCTAAGTGTTCCTCAGAATTTTATTTTATCTATTTTCAGAAACACAATCTTCTTCAAAAAAGAGAAGATTAAGGTAAAGCCTGTAAGATTTCCAGAAAGAAACTTAAAATAGAACTGAGCTTGATTCTTAATGGTTCAGAAACTTACAGTATATTCTGAGAGTTTGCAAGGAAGGGAAACGGAAGCTTCTGATGACAAGAAATTCCATTTCCAGCTCAGGCAGGTAGCAAGACATTTCTGTTGGCTGATTCACAGCAAGCAAACAAAATCCTGCACCTTCTTCATCTGGGGTTAAAGCAGCCTTTCAAAAGATATTGTCTAAATCCTTGCTCTCCCAATTCTGGATACCTTTGCACAATCCTCAAAGAGGCAATTCCAGTCAGGTGCAAACAGCAGATAAACTAACAATTTCTAATTTCTTCCAGTAATATAGTGGAAGAAAAGTGCCTGGGCTGCCCTCGCACCTGGGCTGCCAACTTCAGTTGTTTCTCTTGCCTTCTTAAGAAGTTCAAGTGTCAAATTTAGTTTGAGCACAATTGGATTGATAGCAACTGTGTTTCCCCAAAAATGTGACTTACCCCGAAAACAAGCCCTAGCCTGATTTTCATGCCTGCGCCTAATATAAGCCCTACCCCAAAATAAGGCCCAGTTAGACCCCGCCCACCATCTGGCTGTACAAGGTGGGATGAGGCACAGGTGTAAAAATCAAGCTAGGGCAGGGGTGGAGGGTGAAGGTGCCC